GAAGAGAAGAAAGGTCCCGGACCGGCCGACGGCCGCAACTTCGTCGAGTGGCCCGCCTTACGCTAAAGCCCCAAGACTTCATCGCGGTTTCTACACCCCGGACGTCTCGCCGGGCGACCCTCACTTCAGCGAGTCTGTTCTGACACGTAGGAAAGAACATCCAAGCCTCCATCGAGGGGATTTTTACAACCCCGCTCGCTCGTCGTTGGCGCCGCCGACACACCCCGAGACCGCGAAAACCGGTGGGCAAAGGAAGAGGGAAGAAAAAGGAAAAGGCTAATTGAAAACCCCGCGAGTCGACCTCCCGCGCGCACACCTGTTCCCGTCCTTGAGAAACCGCCGCCGCGACAACGAGACCGAGACGGAACTTCAACTAGTCCATTCCGACACATAAGACGGAACGTCCAGGTCCATATCCCGCCGTGACCCCGCGACCCTCAAGGACTCACCCCCGAGACGCCGCAACGCCGGCCCCGCCGCCGCGACAACAGCGGACAGTCGCGATTGCGAGAATGGTCCGCGGCGGACGATCTCGCGAACGCTCAAGCGTTCAAAGATTGTTACATATAATACAATGATTCTTTTTTGTTATTCATTCAGGACTGACCCGGAGCCAGCCCCGTCCCGTTGACTGCTCTCCGCGATGGCGTTCGAGGGTTGTAGATAGTATCAGTCGTACTCATTATTTCGCGACACTACTCAATCATTCCCGCGATTCGATCCACTACCAAGACAGCGACCTTGAGAATACGCCCGGTGCGGAGGTCCGGCCAATTGGCGAACGCTGAGGTTCGTCGGCCTTCGACGCACTTTTTGAACCGCCGCGTCAGGTAAGCCCAACAGCGAATGGAACGCCGGGTTGGTCCCCTCAGACCGCCGTCTCCCATTCTAGGATAACAATCGATTTCCTCATATTACAGCTACCCTCGACCCATCTCCGTCTCTCAATGATTCCACCTAGATCTGCGTTTCAACAAACAAACAATCCGTGCCAACGATGAAATCCACTCTCCACGTCCAAAGTGGAAGATCAAGATCAATTAACGCATAAAGGTTTAATCAATAAAATGAACTACAACAATTTAACATAGAAACTTTGTAAAATTTTTATTTAAATAATGAACAAAGGACATAAATCATACAGTGAACGACAATCGTTTATTACATTACATCCTCTCGCACCATGACATCGTTATACCCTCTCATCACTCGCTTTTAATACTCAAACAACTCTAACATTCTTCCTCTCTTCACTTGCTGAATCCTCTCCCTTGTCGCAGTTAACAATAAATTCTTCAGATAAAAGAAAGAAACTATTCACCGCTCAACGTATGCAGAAAGCATCCTTCGTAAACAATCAAACATAACACTCCAACAACAACTACCGCAGTACTATCAAATATTCATTACAAACTATCAATCAAAGATTTCCAATAATCTCTCTATCATTTCTGCTTCGTAAATTTCTCTCCCTCATCAACCTCAACAGTGAGACCATTACGTACAAGAATTATTGACCTCTCAATATATATTCCAGCATCAACTTTCGCGGTCAAACACGTTCTCCTGTCATTGCTTGCATCGATCCAATCAAGTATTAATCCAAGACAGTAAACAAAAACTGCCAACAACCCCTTTCTCCTTTCCGCTTTCCTAGAAATCCTGGCTCTCATTTCCGATTAATAAAAGTTCGTTAGCTTGTCATCTGCAAAAATAACAGACCCCATTTTTGAAAGTTTTCACATCAACCATAATACCTTACCACCGTCAACAGCAAGACCATCAAACCTAAATAATATTCACCTCTCAATACGTTCGAGCAGCATCCTTCAGGGTCAGTCACCTTCTCCTGTTATCCTCTATATCAAGTCAATCGAATGTTTAGTCCATTACGTTGAACAGATGTCTCGAGCAACTTCTCTATTTTCCCATTTCCCAGGAAATCCTCTCTCTCCTCTCCAATTAATAGAAATTCATTAGCTTGTCAACTACAACAATTAAAACTTTCATTAAAATACCAGTACTCGACCTCGAATATTTCCATATCAATCCCAGTTCCTTACCATCGTTAACAACGAAGCCGTCAATTATTAATAGTGTATAACTTTCAATCTGCTCGAACGGCAACTTTCAAGATCAACCACATTCTCCTGTCGTCATCTATATCTGGTCGATCAGATGTTTCTAGTCCATTTCGTTGAACACATGTCACAAGCAACTTCCCTATTTTCCCATTTCCCAGGAATTCCTCTCTCTCATCTCCAATTAATAGAACTTCATTATCTTGTCATCTACAACAATTAAAACTTTCATTAAAATACCAGTACTCAACCTCGAATATTTCCATATCAATCCCAGTTCCTTACCTTCGTTAACAACGAAACCGTCAAATATTAATAGTGTATACCATTCAATCTGCTCGAACGGCATCTTTCAAGATCAATCCCATTCTCCTGACGTCATCTATTTCATATCAATTGGATGTTCTTAGTCAATTTCATTTGACAAATGTCACAAGCAACTTCTCTATCATTCCCATTTCCCAGGAATTCCTCTCTCTCATCTCCAATTAATAGAAATTCATTCGCTTATCAACTACAACAATTAAAACTTTCATTAAAATGCCAGTACTCAACCTCGAATATTTTCATATCAATCCCAGTTCCTTACCATCGTTAACAACGAAACCGTCAAGTATTAATAGTGTATATCATTCAATCTGCTCGAACGGCATCTTTCAAAATCAATCCCATTCTCCTGTCGTCATCTATTTCTTATTAATTGAATATTCTTAGTCAATTTCGTTGAACAAATGTCACGAGCAACTTCTCTATTTTCCATTTCCCAGGAATTCCTCTCTCTCATCTCCAATTAATAGAAATTCATTGTCTTGTCATCTACAACAATTAAAACTTTCATTAAAATACCAGTACTCAACCTCGAATATTTCCATATCAATCCCAGTTCCTTGCCATAGTTAACAACGAAACCGTCAAGTATTAATAGTGTATATCATTCAATCCGTTCGAACGGAATCTTTCAAAATCAATCCCATTCTCCTGTCGTCATCTACTTCATATCAATTGGATATTCTTAGTCCATTTCGTTGGACAAATGTCACGAGCAACTTCTCTATTTACCATTCCCAGGAATTCCTCTCTCTCCTCTCCAATTAATAGAAACTCATTAGCTTGTCATCTACAACAATTAAAACTTTCATTAAAATACCAGTACTCAACCTCGAATATTTCCATACCAATCCCAGTTCCTTACCATCGTTAACAACGAAACCGTCAAGTATCAATAGCGTATACCATTCAACCTGCTCGAACGGCATCTTTCAAGATCAAACACATTCTCCTGTCGTCATCTATTTCATATCAATTGGATGTTCTTAGCCCATTTCATTGAACAACCATCACGAGCAACTTCTCTATCTTTCCCATTTCCCAGGAATTCCTGTCTCACATCTCCAACAAATAGAAATTCATTAACTTGTCATCTACAATAATTAAAAATTCCATTAACACGTCAGTAGTCAACCTCGAATTTTCCACATCAATCCCAGTTCCTTGCCATCGTTAACAACAAGATCGTCAACTATTAAAATGCTCACCGTTCAATCTGCTCGAGCAGCATCCTTCAAAATCAATCATATTCTCCTGTCGTCATCTATATCTGGTCGATCAGATGTTTCCAGTCTATTTCGTTAAACAAATGTCACGAGCAACTTCCCTATTTTCCCATTTCCCAGGAATTCCTCACTCTCATCTCCAATTAATAGAAATTCATTATCTTGTCATCTACAACAATTAAAACTTTCATTAAAATACCAGTACTCAACCTCAAATATTTCCATATCAATCCCAGTTCCTTACCACCATTCACAACGAAACTGTCAAGTATTAATAGTGTATACCATTCAATTTGCTCGAACGGCATCTTTCAAGATCATTCCCATTCCCCTGTCGTAATTTATTTCATATCAATTGAGTATTCTTAGTCCATTTCATTAAACAAATGCCACAAGCAACTTCTCTATTTTCCCATTTCCCAGGAATTCCTCACTCTCATCTCCAATTAATAGAAATTCATTATCTTGTCATCTACAACAATTAAAACTTTCATTAAAATACCAGTACTCAACCTCAAATATTTCCATATCAATCCCAGTTCCTTACCACCATTCACAACGAAACTGTCAAGTATTAATAGTGTATACCATTCAATTTGCTCGAACGGCATCTTTCAAGATCATTCCCATTCCCCTGTCGTAATTTATTTCATATCAATTGAGTATTCTTAGTCCATTTCATTAAACAAATGCCACAAGCAACTTCTCTATTTTCCCATTTCCCAGGAATTCCTCACTCTCATCTCCAATTAATAGAAATTCATTATCTTGTCATCTACAACAATTAAAACTTTCATTAAAATACCAGTACTCAACCTCAAATATTTCCATATCAATCCCAGTTCCTTACCACCATTCACAACGAAACTGTCAAGTATTAATAGTGTATACCATTCAATTTGCTCGAACGGCATCTTTCAAGATCATTCCCATTCCCCTGTCGTAATTTATTTCATATCAATTGAGTATTCTTAGTCCATTTCATTAAACAAATGCCACAAGCAACTTCTCTATTTTCCCATTTCCCAGGAATTCCTCACTCTCATCTCCAATTAATAGAAATTCATTATCTTGTCATCTACAACAATTAAAACTTTCATTAAAATACCAGTACTCAACCTCAAATATTTCCATATCAATCCCAGTTCCTTACCACCATTCACAACGAAACTGTCAAGTATTAATAGTGTATACCATTCAATTTGCTCGAACGGCATCTTTCAAGATCATTCCCATTCCCCTGTCGTAATTTATTTCATATCAATTGAGTATTCTTAGTCCATTTCATTAAACAAATGCCACAAGCAACTTCTCTATTTTCCCATTTCCCAGGAATTCCTCACTCTCATCTCCAATTAATAGAAATTCATTATCTTGTCATCTACAACAATTAAAACTTTCATTAAAATACCAGTACTCAACCTCAAATATTTCCATATCAATCCCAGTTCCTTACCATCGTTAACAACGAAAC